TCACGTAATTCTTTCATTATATATATCATTTTTTTTAGTTTATTTGTGACGGATGTAATCTCAATTTCATATCAGAGCACATTTCTATGCCTAAATACTTACAGTTTTTGACAATACTAACCGAGTTACAATCACAGCTTTCCAATGTATTACAGTTGGATTCGTGGATTTTTATATTGTGTATGGGTGGTAARGTTTGTTCAGACAGTGAGTGGAGTAAGATGGTTGATTTMTTGAGATTTAGAAATAAACTGTTATCGCTCAACCAATTATGGATAGATTTAAGATCGACTTCTATATTTTGGAATACTTCATTCCAAGAACTACCAATACAGATCATCACGGTGTCGTCTGCATAACACACTGGATGTTAAAAAGAACCGGAGATAGTGTAGTACCTTGAGGTACTCCGCATTTTATAATATTTTCACTAGAAATAGTACTGTTTATTTTTACCCTCTGTTTTCTGTTTTCTAGATAGGATTTAATGAGAGACAAGGCCGATCCAGTTATGCCTATATTCTGTGTTTTACTTAGAAGTTTATCGTGATCCACTGTATCGAAGGCTTTAGCCAGATCTAAATAAATTGTAGCACATTTTTTTTCTTCATCGAGAGCAGTACCTATAGATAAGTTTTGTGACATTAACTATTGCTTGGTCCGTGCTTTTATCGGGTCTAAAACCGAATTGATATTCAAAAAGAAGATTGTTTGGCTCTAAGAAGAATATAAGTTTCTTTTTTATGATTTTTTCAAATGTTTTAGCAATGTTTGAGATAACTGATATCGGATGAACGTTTTCGAGAGCTGAGATAGGACCTTTCTTATGTATGGTGGTTATTATAGCTACTTTAAAGGCATCTGGTACTTTATTTTGTGATATGCATAGATTAAAAATATGACATAATGGTTTAAAAAATATTAAACTATGTTTTTTTAGTAAATCGGAGGATATTTTATCAAGACCGGGTGAAGATCCGTTTTTTTGATTTAAAGATAGCTTCAAAAATTCCAGAATGAGTGATTGGATCGAATTTATTAAAGCTAACCTTATTTTGCGAATTATTGTCGAAGTTTGTAGTGTAATTGTAGGTATTTTTACAGTTTTTTAGTGACGTAATTAAATCGGTAGCTACATTTGTAAAATACTTATTACATTTTTCAGCCAAAACATAATCGGGGTTTTCATCAGTATAATCATTTTTGTTTTTAGAGTTATTTAATAATTCTKTAAGGTTACTTGATTTCTTATTTTTTGCTAAGATATTGTTAATAGTCTGCCATTTAARKTTTGTGTTATTTCCAGATTTTAGTAATTCTGCTTTATAGTAAAGGATCTTTGCATTTTTTATTATTTTTGTAATTTTGTTTCTAAAATGTACGTAGTATTATTTAATTTTAAATTAAGCGGTTGTTTCTTAACTTGTAAATGGAGACGGTCTCTTTGTCTTATTGAGTTAATACTGGCGGTAGTGGCCCATGGTTTCAATTTTTTGGTTTTTGAGGAGATGGATATTTCATCCGAGGCTTGGTTTTTTAGGTTATTTAAAGTGYTAGTGAAATATTGAGTGGYTTTATTTACATCAGTGAMTTCAAGTATTTCTGACCAATTGTGGTTTTCAATTGAGTTTGATAGTTTTTGATTATCAGTTTTTAATATTTTAAGTGGATTTGGCATATTATTTCTWTTATCTAATATATTGCMTAAACTAAGTATTGTCGGGTAGTGGTCCGTAATGTTAGAGAGTACAATTATTGATACTATGTTAGCATGGGACTTTGTTTTAATAAAAATATGATCTATACAGGTATTTGAAATTGGTCTAGTGATGATATTGATAAGCGATGCAAACCCGAACTGTGCCATTGCCAGTAAGTACTCTTCTCGTATTTTAGAATGCTTGATCAAATCAATATTTAAGTAACCTAATAACATTTTGTAACTAGCTGTTTTTAAAGTGGAATTTAAAAGTATTATATCATTAAGCTCGAATAAAGTTACGTCTATTTTTTATTTAAAATTTGGTAATAAATTCATTTGATCGATAAAATGGAAATGTTTCAGCATARCGACAAATTATTTCACTGTCTAAATAGGTTGGTGAATTTTGGTCTAAAGTTGCATACATATCATCATTTGTATTAAAACGTCAGTTCATTTCGAAATATATTACGTCTAAAATATTAAAAAATATTCTCTTTTGCTCTGTTTTCATGTCATCAGACGAATAAGCCATTCTTTTACCAGTGGTAATAGTTACATAATAATCGGCCAAAATACTWGAATTTTGAWGTGTTCTATTTGATGACAAATTATCACTTGATAGCGTAGGTATTTTAGAATTTTGAGCAATAACCAATGATCGCATATAGTTCAAAAAACTYCTCATAATTACRTAACTCTAATATTTRTTGCTTTGTTATATTAATTAATAATGTACAACGTTTTATATCAAGAGYAGTTGATTGCAGGTTAATTGATAAGCATTTAATAATATTTAATATTTCGTTTAAGCACACAATTATTATGATAACTTCAAACTTAGCAAACTGTATGGCCAAACCCTTTGCCTCTGCAGCTTCTTGTTTTTTAGTACTTTCTCTAAATGCATTAAGAACTTTTAAAATATCAATAAAATGATTTTTTTTAAATGTAATACCCTTGTGTTTTGAAACCCACCTTGTTTCACAATGTCGTGGTACTCTATACTTAGTTTCATGTAAAAAAGCATGATGACGAATTGTAGATACCGATTGGAACGCATAAATAGCTTCTAATAAACCAAGTATTTCATMTACKTCTTGAATATTTTTCGTTACATCAACTAGAACTAGGTTTAACCTATGAGCATGGCAATGAATAWACGGACACGGATTTTGTGCTAATTCCCTTATTTTTGTTTGAACACTAGAAAAAGCTCCGGACATCACTGACGCACCATCATATGATTGACTTACACAATTTTAAATATCCAAACCAACATTATTTWAAAAAAMTATTATGCCATCACACAGTGCTTGAGCATTTAAATCGTTCAATTCGACAAAACCTAAAAATCTTTCTTTAATTTTTAAATTGTGCAAATATCGAATACAAATACACATTTGTTCAATTTTTGACTGACCTYATCTACAATTAAACTAAATATCTGGCTCCCGATATAAACTTCATTTACTGTTAATTGTAATACAAGCTTGGATGTAGYTTTTATTATATCATTTTGTATTTCAGGCGATATGTATTTGCTATTTTTAGGTAATAAATTAAAATTTGTTTTAAAATGTTCATTTTCAATGGAAAGTAATTTTATAATTTCTAAAAAGTTATCTTCATTTACGTCATGACGTGAACACAAACTTGCATCATAATTTTCACTATTGAATTCTTCTTTTCTTTCTCTTCAATTTTCTCATAGCTCGATATATTGCCGTGCACAATATAAAACACACCTTATTACACTTGTTAAAATAGCTCGATTTTTTATAACTTGCTCCTTGACTTGCTTATTTATTTGAGTCGAAATTGATCTAGTTTTTTTGGTTGATAGCCATGYGCCATATTTAGCAATTGCATTTTTATGTGAAGTAGTATTATCATGTTTTTTAGTCATATTACTTATATTTTTCCAATCAGAATATCCACCAGTAATAAATTAGAACATCTTCTTGCGAATGAGAAGGAAATGGCGACAATAATAACAGAATACGGCATTCATCTTAATTGAGTATTTCAACCATGGGTACTTATTGTACCAACTGCTTTGAAAGCTACGTTGTTCCCCAGATATAAAAGTACGAAGAAAACTGATGACAGGTTGTACAGCGGTATCCTCACGAGTTACACTAGTATCAAAAATGTTTAAATTCAACTGTTTATTTATATCTGATATTGGTGTACGCGCACTTGATCCAGGGTCATTGGGCTCCGAAACAGTTGAATCAGCAGTTGATTTTAAATTACCTGATGTGATTAAAAAACGTTCCATTTTTCGAAAACGAGCAACGCGACGGACTGTGTAAAAATAAAAGCGAAATATAATCACTATGTTGTACTAAAGGCGTTCGGAGTGACGCAGTGCGATTAGTATTAAACTAATCGACAATCGCAAGCGTATCTATCCGACTACAACTTATTACCGTCTCGTTATTTTTGGAAATAATCGTCAATTGAATGGATAAGATTAATATCTATCATATTGTAGGTAACGGGCAATACGGGCTGTCGAGCTATAATATTATATTATACACTGGCTTTGATGCACTATATTTCATTTCAACGGATGCCGATTAACAGGATTTGATCGGTTATTAAACCACAACACTCAAAATAAAATACGTGTCATTAACTGATTTGCAGAACCGATTAAAAACCATCAGGATTTAATTTTGTTAATTAAAACCGTATTTACAATTTATTTAATTCTATTATTTTAAATACATATTATAGTCATATACACTAAATATTTAATAGGATAAACATCTTTTTTTTTTTTTTGAAAAAAGTGGGTAGGCTCGGGCCTACCTGCTGTCTACGCCACTGATGGCCCCTAGAACTTAGGCGTGGTAATATAAACATAAGTCAGTGGCAAGTAACACACAATATATCAAATCTCAATGAACAATTATTATTCACTACATARTAGGTACATAATATAGTTAATAAAAGTATTATCATACACATCATGATGAGGAGACATAAACAATAAACATACTAATCAAAATTAACAAATCAATTACAAAATCGAAATTAAACTATGAATCAATTATTTGTAAGTCAGCTTCGTATTCAACACTTAAACCAATAAATAGACTCAACAAGAGTGTATATAAAGATCAGCTTTAGAGGCTTTCCGTAATTGTTGAATTTGTGACAGCTGATAAACCTATACCTGATATAAAAAATACTGAAACATCTCTTAAACACGCTAGAATATGGCGTATTAATGACGTATCATATTTAGGATTTAGCTAGAAAAATTTTATCCAATACAAAAGGAAATGCAAAAATACAAAAAACTGAAGGTATTGAATTATAATATTCTGCTGTGACATATAGGTACTCATAATAGATTACATTATAAAAGGGTAGATGTAAAATATGATAATATAATAACAGGAATACATAGTTTGAATGATATGGTGTTGTAATATTATTATAATGTTATAAAATCTCGTATCTAATATTAATATCTGTATTGTACAAATCACAATACGTATGGGAACGACACGATGCACAAAAATCAATTTAGGTACAAGCCGCACGTCATGATTATTGTGGTCTAAAAATAATTTTAAAACTAGCCCCTATTGAGAAATGATTTCTCATTCTGATTGTTTGAACGTGTTGTTGTTAATGTTGTTATATACGATAAGAATACAATTAATTATATTGGATTCCATGGCTAGCTCTCTATTCCTTGATGCATAATTCTATTTACAGTAAAACCTCTTTATAACGGACCCTCTGTTAGACGGAATCCTCCTTACAACGGAAACTGTCAATAGTCCCGGTTCAAATAATATATAAAATTGAACTCTTTAAGACGGAACCTCTACAAAACGGAAACGGAAAATGTTCGTAATCCAATTAGTAAAAATACCCGCTGTTAAACGGAAAATAGAATTATTTAAAGATAAATTACATACACTTACATAAGTATAAACTATATGTATGTATATAATATATATTTTTGGTAACTAGATAATCTAAACTTTATCTGTCATTATCTGAAATATCATTCGACGGTATCGTTTCACGATTGTCATACTATTGTTTATTATTAAAGATTAGATATGTACGTATGTACATACCTTTAATGTATGAACTGCCCAGTCGTCTTTTTTCTGTTGAATTGTTCATATCGTTTAGTAAACGTGCAGTGCTCACCGTCTGTTTTATCGTTGTGATTTGGTTTGTTTTCGTACTGTTTTTAGTTTTTACTCGCTAATATGCCACGTACAGCTCTGACTTTGTCAGATAAAGTTAAACTAATCGAGTTGAAGGAGACACAAAAACTAAGTACGAAGGAACTTATTACTAGATTTAAATGTGGAAAAACTCAAGTTTACGACGCGATAAAAAATAAAGAAAAGATTATGRATGAATGGGTAAATAGCAAAAACTCGGGAAAGAGTAAAAGAGTGAAAACTCCCTCATTYGAACAAATTGATCAAAAGTTGTATGAGTGGTTTGTCAGCGTTCGGTCAAAAAATTTGCCAATTTCCGGTCCAATTATACAAACAGAAGCTATGAAATTTGCTGAAAAAATGAATGTCAAAGATTTCAAGGCTTCGAACGGTTGGCTAGAAAATTTTTAAAAAAGGCATGACATTGTTTGGAGACAAGTTAGTGGTGAGGCTAATGACGTTAATCAAGAARCTGTGGTGGAGWGGAAGCAAAAAATATCAAGACGCATTGCTGGGTATGAAGCAAAAGACGTGTACAATGCTAACGAAACGGGTCTTTTTTTCAGAGGTATTCCTACTAAGTCACTAGTACAGAAAAGTGAGTCTTGTTCTGGAGGGAAAAAAGCAAAGGATCGCTTAACAGTGCTCATGTGTAGTATGGCTGGAGAAATTAGGAAGCCATTGGTAATTGGCAAGTCTAAAAAACCACGGTGTTTTAAGAACATGGACATTACTTCGTTACCTGTCATATGGAAATTTAATAAAAAAGCCTGGATGACAACAGAGATAATGGAGCAGTGGTTGCGTTATTTTAACGCAGATATGCGATCTCAGAATAGAAACGTCCTAATATTCTTAGATAATGCTGCATGYCACCCAAAGATCGAACTATCTAATACGAAAATACTTATGTTGCCCCCAAATACCACATCGATCACCCAACCAATGGATCAAGGAGTGATTTACACGTTCAAGTCTTACTATCGTAAGTTTTTGCTACAATCGTTATTATGCAAGATGGATAATTGTTCTTCAGCTCATCAGCTCGCTAAATCAATAAGTGTTTTGAATGCAGTCAATTGGATAGCGTTGGCTTGCGATAATGTAAAAGCTGAATGTGTACAAAATTGTTTTCATAAAGCCGGGTTTCTTTCAAATGAAGGAACCAATACCAATGGTATAGATTTACCAGAAAATGCTTTGAACGATATTAATGAGGAATGCGTTATAGCCAATGTTGATGTAGAAGATTTTATTACATTTGACAGTAACTTAGAGACGCACCAAACTTACGACTMGGCGATTTTTTTAGAAGAAGAAAAAGAAGTAGAAAAGATGATAATGATGATAGTGAGACCAACGATGAGCCAAAAATAAAAGATTTTAAAACTGCAATCTCATACTTAGAAGAATTACAAAAGTTTTCAGCCACCATTTCAAATACAAATCTATTAGAACTTACAACAAAAGCTCGAGAATGTGCTGAACGTGCTGCTCTTAAACACAAAAACAATCAAATATTAAAAACTATTTTTCTTAATTATAAAAAAGGTACAAACATTTACTTTCATTTTTTTTTAGTATTATACACAAAACAAATTTAAATATTAAGTCATATATGTATAATAATCTTATTATATAAATTTACGTTTTACGAGGTATTTACCTAAAATATAWTTTTTTTAATACATACGTACACATACATAAATTCTTGAAACATTTTTTTTTACCTCTCTAAGACGGAAAACTCTTTATAACGAAAAAATTGTTGGTCCCAAGCGATTCCGTTATAGAGAGGTTTTACTGTATATACATATATGAGGTTCTTTTCAATTAATCAAAAGTAATATTATAACATTTATAACTATGTTATAGCCATTGAGTTTCATTGTGACAATCTAACGATTGTCTTAATATGTGTTATCATAATATATATTTGATTATAATATGTATGTTGCGTATTTTTATACTTGGATTACCTATTGTAATACATATTTAACAATCTATAACCACGACTTATATAATTTTTTTTCATGTTTGAACCGACTACGTCACGGTTTCGTGATTGCTTTCGTATTCTCTCACGAAAACCATACTATATATTACACAATATATAAATAACTTTAATATATACTTACAAAATGATTTTATAAAATTTTCAGTCAAATTTGAATCATAATAATTTTTATCTATTGAAAGATAAATTATGTTATTTAATACTTCCAGCATGTTACTGTTTTTGTAGTTTAATCTTTACTCTGATTACAATAAGAATAATAGACGGCGGCCGATTTGTGCGCATAAGGCCACCCTTACGTCCGCGAAGTGGAGCGAAGCACTGGCACTGCCGCCGTGAGAGCTGTGAGCAACGGGAGGAAGAATAATGGGCGCGGTTATCACCGGCGGTGACGAAAACTCGTATAGTAGACCAGCGTCTAGGAACAGAGAACCGAATGGAATAAAAATGGTGGATTTTTATCATTAATATACACTGAGATAAGAAAAATACAAAATTTTGATAACAGACTTTATCATATTAATATTTATTATAACTGATATAATATCATAATATGAAATTATGAAAAATAAATAATAATAATTAATATAAAATATATTGAATGCTATAATACCTATTCTATAATATATTTTTTAATTTAAAATTTACATTATTTATCAATTGTTAAGGTAATTTAAAATATTGTTATATCATATAATTGTTACCTGTTGGTGATTTATGTATTTTTGAATTAAATGTTTATACATTAATATTTATAAATTAATTAATTTGTTGTTTTTTGTTTTATGCTAAATAATTTAACATAATTTATCCAAAATTATTTTTCTTTGAATATTATTCTTCTACTATGTCTGAAAATGTTGTGATTCGGTTGTTGTTGTTTTGTTCTATTTGATGTTAAATAAATAAATATAATATAATGTTAACTTATGTTAACTACAAGAGTCATTCAATAAAGTGTTGAATGAAATATCTACAATTGAAGAACTAAATGTCTTGAAAAAATCTTTTTTACCTATGTAATAACTAATAAAATAATATACTCGAATATTAAATAGTTAAAACAGTTTATTTTAAAAATTACACAAACTTAGCGAGACCGATTCGACGACGCGCAMTATACGACGTYCGATCGACAACTAACTACATATAAATGATAATGCTGATAATGAAATATATCTTACACTACATAATATTGATAAATGATAATGCTGATAATGAAATATATCTTACATTCGCCCCCAAAAAACAAATATATTTAAAATATTATATTTTTTTTTATAACATGAAATAAAATAGATACTGTTAATAATGTGTTAGCTATATTTATTTTTCTTTACGCGCTATGGCTACACTGACGGTGGGCCTATCAGACCTGCCTCCGCGCCGCAGCTCGCGCGACGCGCCGTCTTTCCGTACCCGCCGGGTACGACGTATGTTTCCGCGCACCGCCGCCGTAGCTCTAAGCCGTAGTTATTTAATTGTGTCACCGCTTTCTTAATGTGTAATAATAAACGAGTTCTATATTGTCAATCCGAATGTTTTATTTCACATCCTGACCTATTTCGATTTTTTTGTTTACAATTCAGAAGTGGGATCCGTCTCTTTCGTTAAAGAGCCGACCGGATCCGTCTCGTTAAGTTCGCTCTATCGATAAATTCGCTCCGTCGTCGTACGTTGTCGCCGTTACGCGAGGTTCGCAAAGTGCCGACGTTATCGCGTGCTTTGAGTGCCGCCGCGCCGTTAATTTTGTTTTCACAAAATTCGACCCGAACACGTGTTTTTCGGGCCGAGTAACGCCTGGTTCAAAGTACATCTTTGTTTGAGGTTCGCAGTTTGCGCGGCTACCGCAACCGCGTTCATACCGTTGTCGTTATCGCGACGTTACCACACAAGTAAATTATTGGTCGATAGTCGGGCCAACAGCTAGTAGTGTGTTATCGTGTTACCGTGTTATCACCACAAATTGTTTATCGTGTTCTTGTGTTTCGTCTGTGTCTACGATCGTTGACTTTCGACCACGCGATGCCGAATAACGCTACGGGTGGTGGTGACCCGCCGAATGTTGAGTCCGGACCTAAGGCTCCTACATATCTCGAGCTGATCAATACCGTGGCGAGACTGACCACACAACTCCAACAATCTTCCCTCGCATCTAACGCTACTCCGGCGCCGACTTCATCCGTTGATTACCGCATACTCCCCGACGTCGGGACATCGATTTGGTCATTCACGGGTCACGAGTCCAGCAGCCAGGCGGAAGATTGGATAAGTTCGGTAGACGCGTTGGCCCAAGTTAGTCAGTGGCCACTACAACACCGCTTGCTTTACGTCCGTTCGCACGTCGCTCAAGCCGCGCGAAGCTGGTTTTTACTTGAAGAGTTTCCGGATTGGACCACGTTTGCCCAAAGCTTCCGACGAACTTTCGTGCGCACATTGCGCAAAGCCGATCTGTGGAGAGAGCTCGAGTCCCGCGTACAAGAGCCGAACGAGCCGACGATCGATTATTTTTATGCCAAAATCGGGCTGTGTCGTTCTCTTGATTTGCCGTTCGCAGACGCGCGCGAGTACGTCCTCGAAGGGTTGAGGTCTCAGCCGCTCACTGATTAGGTGTATAGTCGTCATCACACCACACGCGACGAACTGCTGTTGGATATCCGAGATTTCGAGCGGATGCGTGCGAAGCGCAAGGGAAAATTTGAGTCTTCAAACCCGTCGACTACCAAGCCTCTCTTGGTTAAACAGAATTACGCAGTCGAACCGACTAGAACGAAAACTAGTTCCACCGCAACCATCGCGCCGCCCAAAGTCGCGACTGACGCAACTGCTAAACCGTATACGTCAAGTGCCGCATCGACCTCGAACGCGACGAAAGACCGACCGACAGTGTATTGTTATAACTGCCGGGGCGCGGGGCATATCTCGAAGGATTGCCCGAGACCTCGACGACCGATTAAGTGCTCCAATTGCCATTCGGATCAGCACACTCGTGGACGTTGCCCGACCGCCGATTCCGACCGCATCGATACCGCGTCGACCACCGACCAAGCGTATCGCGCCGATGCGACGACCGGGGGTGCGAAACTGAAAAATCCGTTCATTAAGACCGTATACGTGAACGGCCGAGCCGTGAATGGGTTGATCGATACCGGTAGTTCCGCCGTTTTAATTCAATCGTCGATAGCCCGGGCATGTGGCTTGATCGTACGAGATACCGTTTGCCCGCTCTACACCGTGGGGAACGCTGACGAACCCAGCACCATGACGATTGGTGAGGGTGACGCTGATGTGATCATCGACGACGTTCTTGCCGCCGACCACCCGCTGAAAGTCGTGTTGGACCACTCGTTACCGGTCGACGTGTTGGTCGGTCGAACATGGCTCAACTTACCACACGTGAATTACTTCAAGCAGGGCGGCGAGATAGTGTTCGAAACGAACAGTTGTGTGTCGGCCGACGCGCTCGCCGAGATACACACCGAAGATATATTTTACGTCGCCGAAACCGAGCCAGTCCGTCCGGCGAAGGAACCGATTACCGCTGACGACGTCGTGATCGGTACCGACGTTACCGAGGATCAACGCCAATCGCTCGTGTCGATGCTAAACGAACACCGGGATGTTTTTGCGAAGAACATCATGGAGCTCGGCTGCACAAACGTTATTTCGATGGACATCGCCGAGACACCAGGCAGTGCGCCGTTTTGCCAGAAGCCGTACCGCACGTCGACCACCGATCGCTGTATAATCGCGGACACGCTGCGCGACTGGAAGGAAGCCGGAATTATCAGTGACTCGACTTCCTCGTACGCCAGTCCGGTTTTGCTTGTGAACAAATCGTCGAGCGAGAAGCGTCTATGTGTAGACTACAGACATCTCAATCAGCAGACCGAGGCTCAGCCGTACCCGATGCCCGATGTAGACTCTCAGCTCGCAGCCCTGTCACGCGGCGTGATCTTCACCACTCTCGATTTGTCGAACGGGTTTTTACAGATACCGTTGACTCCCGCATCTAAGCAGAAGACCGCGTTCGTCACCGAGGAGGCGACTGCAAAATTTGAGAGGATGCCTTTCGGCTTGAAGGGAGCGCCGGGGACCTTTCAAAAACTGATGGATGTCGTGTTCAAGGAGCTTAAAGACGAAGGAGTAGTCAGCACGTACCTCGACGACATCATTCTGCCGTCAGAAAACTGGGAGCGCATGATGTGCGACCTGCGACGGGTGCTGAGCGCTCTACGCGCCGCTAATCTGACGCTGAAACCGTCTAAGTGCACTTTTGGTGCCCGCGAGCTGGACTATTTGGGCTTCCGTATTTCTGAAGGAACCGTCAAGCCGGGTCGCAAGGTGCTCGCGATCGCGA